ATGTTATATTTATACGATAAATATAACATATATATATATATATTTAAACTTCTTTTTTTATATTATATTTATACGATAAATATAAAAGTAATATTTAAATTCAAAATCTGATCATTATATCATAGTTCAGTATGAATGAATATATATATATATTTTCATTCAACTTTGTTATTACATAATATCTTAAATTATTTTAGATGTATGGTGGTATGCGTGGAATTAAAGGCCTTCTATGGGAACCATCAGTCCTAGATCCTGAAGAAGGTATTAGATTCCGAGGAAAATCGATTCCAGAATGTCAGAAGATCTTACCGAAAGCGAAGGATGGTGCAGAACCACTTCCGGAAGGTTTGTTCTGGCTTTTGATCACTGGCGATGTTCCTAGTAATACGCAAGTAGAATCAATATCTAAGGAATGGGCCTCTAGAAGTACCCTGCCTGAACATGTAGTCAAAACTCTAAAAAATTTTCCAAAATCTCTTCATCCTATGACTCAATTTTCTGCCGCTATCACTATTCTGAACAGTGAAAGTGAATTCGTAAAAGCATATAATAAAGGCGTACACAAAAGCAAATATTGGGAATACGTCTATGAAGATATTATGAATCTGATTGCAAAATTACCTTCTGTGGCTGCCACAGTATACAGAAATACTTATAAGGATGGTCAAGTCGCATCTGTCGATTCTGATAAAGATTGGGCTTGGAATTTTTCAAGAATGCTCGGTTATGAAGATCCTCAATTCACTGAACTCCTGCGTTTGTATCTATCGATACACGCTGATCACGAAGGTGGAAACGTATCTGCACATACCACTCATTTAGTCGGTTCAGCATTATCTGATGCTTATTTGTCATTCGCGGCTGGAATGAACGGTTTGGCTGGACCTCTTCATGGTCTCGCAAATCAAGAAGTATTAGTATGGCTAGAAAAAGTACAAAAAGAAATTGGAGATTCTCCTTCTGATGAAAAAGTAGCTGAATTTGTTCGAAATACACTGAAGAAAGGTCAAGTCGTTCCTGGATATGGACATGCCGTACTCAGAAAGACTGATCCTAGATATATATGCCAGAGAGAATTTGCTTTGAAACATTTGCCTGATGATAAATTATTCAAGGTAAATAATTTTGTTTAAAAATATATATTATTTAATGAGTATTCTCTTTTTAATTAATGATAATATTTGGATATTTTTAGCTTGTTAGTCAAGTATTCAAAGTAGTTCCTCCCATTCTTCAAGAAACTGGTAAGGTAAAGAATCCTTGGCCAAATGTAGACGCTCATTCGGGAGTTTTATTGCAATATTATGGAATGAAAGAAATGAACTATTACACCGTCTTATTTGGAGTATCACGTGCTCTTGGTGTTTTATCATCTCTTGTATGGTCTCGTGGTCTTGGTTTCCCAATTGAAAGGCCTAAATCTTTGAGCACCGAACATCTTATGAGATGTATTAGAGCTTAAACATCTTTATTTATAAAAAATCAAAATCATTTAAATCTTTCAAGTTCGTGTCACACCATCATCATGATTTTAAAAATAGAGAAACTGATTTTTTATTTTAATAGAAATATTATTAATGCACAGAAAATTTTTTCGAATTTATTTCGAATTAATTTTAATATAATTTCAAGAAATATATACTATATTATAATTAGTCATATTAAAAAAACGAAAGGTATTAAATCAGAAATCCTCCCGTATAAATTATCTATATTTCAAATATAGACATTTTGAAAAAATATTTCGAATTTTATCACAAAAATATATAATATTGAGACCCTTATTTTTTAATTTCTTTTTTTAATTTTTATTTTTGTGTTTAATATTGTGTAGTAAATACTAATGTGGTAAAATTTTGCAATATAAATTATAAAAATGATCCAATTACAATTTATTCAAAGTGATATAATGCAAAAGTAGTAAATTATTAAAACATTCATTGTAAAAGTTAGTACACTTAGTGAATATTGTTTAAATATTGTAAATTGAACACTGCCAAAAAACAAAAAAATATCAGAATTTTTAAAATATAATTGAATAATAATATGTATGTATTTTTATTATTACTTCATTTAAAAGATATAGTAATAATTAAAAATCGTTTTATTGGCAGAAATTTGCAAAATGTAATTTTTAATAAGCTATGTAAAATAGAAAGTAAATAGGGCTAATAAAATATGTAAAAAAAATTTCAGTGTTAAAGCATCAATTGTTAGTTTCTTTTGGATTTAAAAGCATAGCTCAGTTACATCGAGTTTCGATTAAAAATAAATTAAAAATAAAATGATGACCTAGTGGTAGATCCACTATTATGAGAATGAATGAGTGTGTGCGATACTTTATTTATAACGAACGTGAAAATAAATAGATCTTAAAAAATTATATTTGATTTTTTCTTTACATCTCAAAATAAAAAAATAAACATAAAAAAACAAGTTCATTAAATATTTTAATATTTTATTTATTTCATAACTTAACAAAAAATATGAAGAATTTAAAATAAATTTTATATAAATGATTAAGAAGATTATAAAAATAAAAAAATTAATTTTTTCATTCTAATTCTATTGTTTGAAATATTGTAATTTAAGTAATTATAACTTTAATAATTATATGATACAATAATTATATATAATGTAATTATTAAAATCATAAGTTCAATTAACATTTTTAAATTTTAAATTATATCTAAATTTCCAAACATTATTTATTTATTTATAATTTTAATCAGGAGTAAAAGTGAAATATAATAAAATATATTACAATTTATAAAAATTATAAAACAAAAATATAAAAAATTTACTATCATGTATATAAATTATATTAATTTAAATAATAATAATAATATATATATAATTTTTTTTATATTCATTATATTATATTATAACTCTATATAATTTAATAATAAAAAATGCATATAAAAATATAAAAATAAAAATAAAAATGGTCAAAGGGAATAGAAAATTGTATATTATTATTTATAGTACTTTGTTTACTTCTCATAATTTCAGTCCTTATGTTAATTAACAACTTTATACGCAATTCATATTTATTATACAAGTTAACAATAACTAATTGAAAACAAATATTTTTAAATTTAGTGATTTTTTGAAGTTAGTTCAATCAAAATTGAACCATACAAAAAGATTAAATGTAATATACATTTTTAATTCATATAATGATTTGTTGTAACAAAACAAAAAAATGTATATTATATTTTTAAATTTTTATATAATGGAAATTTTATTAACGACTGCATATACTAATATGTATCTGTATCATAGTTAAGACAATTCTTTATTTCTCAATATGAGAAAATTGCTATTTTATGAAATGTTAAATGTATGATCTCACTCTGGTTTTAGACGGCATTTATCATTCATACAATGATCTTAATAATTTCTAAAATCATATTTTTTATAATGTTATCATTGTTTCAAATTTTTAATAATTATTAAATACTGGAGTATTTATGTAGCTACACAAATCTTAATTAGTATAATCATGAAGTAAATAAAATATGAGATAGTTGCCAATTGAATAGTTAGAGTAATAATATTTAAAAATATTCATAATATATTTGAGAACATCATAAATATTTTTTGTAATGAATTGCATATACAAAACATATCTTTATAAGATATCATTGTATTTTGTATATAAATCAGATTAAATATTTCTAATAAACAACCATCTCATTTGAATTCATGTATCACAGAACAGTTTTCTGCTTCTAAATATTTAATTCAGAGTTGGGCAAAATATAATCTGATAAAAATTGTAATTAATATAAAATCATATTACTAATTAATGATTACCAATTAATCAATAATCATTAATTATAAAATAATAATTAACAATAGTTTTTGAAGCTGATAAAATCAGAAGATAATTAATAATAATTAATAATCATTAATTCGCGAAATGATATACTAAATATTTTTTTAAAAATATCTATATTATTAAATTATATTGTTTTTTAGAGATATATGCTTTACATACAATTTTAATGTAGTTTTTACATTTCTTGTTACATTTTTCTTACATCATTATTTTTTGGAATTTTTATGAAAGAATATATTATTTTATATTATATAAAAAATATTTTTATATAATATATATTCTTTTTGGGATTTTAATCTAATTATTTTAGCAGGAATTTTTTAAATAGTAACATAATAGATATAACCAATTTTCCTAATATTACAAAGATTAAGATATATATCTTGTAAATAAATAGATTATTTGTTCTATTAAATGTTAAAATAATCTTTAATGATCATTAAATGATTACAAATTATTGATTTATGATTACAGATTACAAGTATTGTGCATAATTATCTTATATATAATATTATTATTTGATTAATGATCATAATTATAGTGACTTTTAATAATAAGTTATTTAAAAATCACTTCAAAACAATTAATTATTGCCCAACTCTGGACTGATTGAATAACATTATCTTAAAATTTTTAATGATGTTTGCAATACCAAGCATTAAGAAATGTTTAAATTCTTACATAGAAAGTTGAAAAATATATGATATAATTGATGCTAAATTGAAGTTGACTTTTTACATTTGTATTAATGTGGAGTATAAAAAACTATGTACATTAATATATTCTTGAGAATCGCCAAAAAAATTTTATCCACATATTAGCTGAATAAAATGAATAAATAATTTATCTTTATGTTTATATAAGTATAGGTGGACGGGATCAAGATTAAACTCTTTATTATTTAAATATGCATGCAATATTTTCATTACATTCATTGTTGAATAAAAAATAAAAATTTAATATTATTTAAATTGTAATTTTAATATAATATTTATAGCTATAAATGATATTATATTTAAATTGTAATTTTAATATAATATTTATAGCTATAAATGATATTTATATAATTAATTTGATAGAATAGATTAATTTGGCAGTCTTGTAAAAAATATTAATAATATTTATTTTTTTATAGACTGATAAAAAAATTTTTGCTATAGATATTTCAACAATACTTTTTATAAAAGACTTTCAATATTCTAAATTTTTCTGTTTTCTTATAATATGATGTCTTAAATATATTTTATATAAAGAATAATTAAAATGTTATTTTATTTTTATGTTATAATCATTAATCTTTACATTTTGTATCACATTAATAGATAAGACAAAGTTTACCCGTCCACCATTTAATGTATTAAATGTTTGCAATAATTAATCAGTATATGCAGTTATGCATGAAGCTAGTGTACCATTTGAAAAATGATCATTCATTCTTATATCATTTGTACAATTGTTAGAGTGACACAGTAACTCACAATAAAGATATACTTTACAGTTTAAATATTTTGTTATATTCAAAATCATTCCTCATAATGTACGTCATGTCTTTTTTAAACGACCAACAATCCATTCAAGACCTTGATAAAGCCTAAAATATTACAAATAATTAATAAATTTTTTTCATAAATTAATAAAATTATATCTCTAATAACAAATAAATTCTTCTTTTACCCTTCTCCTGTAAGTGCACAACAGCTTTGTATGTGCCATTGATGTTTCTTAATGGAAGTTAAATCTAATTGTCTAGAGATTTCAGCAGCTGTCATGCTACCTTTTAAATCTTGTTTATTAGCATAAACTAAAACATTAGCTTTACTTAATTCTTCATGATTTAGCATTGAGTATAATTCTTCTCTTATTACACAAAGTCTTTCTCTATCTGTACTATCTATAACCATAATAATAAACTCTGTATTAGTATAATAGGTAGACCATGCAGCTCTTAAACTTTGCTGTCCACCCAAATCCCACATTATGAAATGAATATTTTTCCAAACAACTTCTTCAACATTGGATCCAATAGTTGGTGATGTATGAACAACTTCATTCATTAGGAACTGGTATAATATAGTTGTTTTACCAGCATTATCTAATCCTACCATAACTATTTTATGTTCTGAAAAATAATATAATTTAATTATAATTAAATTGATAAATTATATAATTATAGAATATAATTATATGATTTAAATTACTTTTTTATATGAATCATTTATTTAAATGTTTTAAATATTTTTTTCTAGAATGTGAAAGGAAAATATATGAATAATATATATTAACATATGTTGAAAGTAAAATTAAAGTATAATGAAAATTTTAAAAAGTTTTCAAATATAATAATTACAATATTAACTTACAAAGAATAATTTTATTTATTTCTTTATTCTATCATTATAATTAAACTTTTGATAATTAAAAAAATAAAATATCTGATAATTAATTAAAATTATTTTATTGAAATGAATTTTAACACATAAATAATAAAAACATAATTATGAATTATAATTATTTATAATTCTTATTTATTATTCTTATTAAATTATATTTAAATAAAGTTTAACATTTATGAACTATTTTTATTTATTATCAAAATAAAAAAAAAGCAAATATATAATTCTTATATAATATATATAATAAATAATTATCATTTTTACATATTGTTAAATATGAATCTTTGCAATATTATTATTTATATAATATTATGCACAAAGCTTAATGACACAATATTGTTGTTATATATGCTGAATTTACCTTCATTGCCAAAGAGACTCCACAATTTTGAAAATAATAATCCCATATTGCTTAAAACATTAAATCACTCAGTGTTAATATTTATTTAAACGTATTTCTATATAATCATATATTCTGTAATCTTTTTCTCGATAAAAAAGATATATATATTTGGTTTCAGAAATGGAATATCTCATTGTCAAAGGGTTATGTACACTTTTTTATCAAATTCTTTTTCAACATATTTATGATAAATTCATTATTAATACTTTATAACGTGAATTATATATCTAAGAATTGTTGCAAATTGTTAAAAATACACTAAGGATAACCCAAAAGTGAAAGAAATATACGAAGACCTTCCCTAATCTAATCAAGCAAATCGAGACATGTTGCATTTCCAATTAAAACATTCGTACGTGCGATGCGTCCAATCATTGTTTAGTATTAACCGAAAGTGATGTCAGTCTTGTATATACGTATACTGATTGGGAGTATAAAATTCACAATTGAAGGCGCGTAACATATAAATTTATTTGAAATGGTTAGTTATTGTCACATAATATTAAGATAATCAAGTTGATTTCGCTGAATCATTATCTATATTCTTTTCAAAAAACAAGAGAAATAAAAATAAAAATCTAGAATAAAATCTGTAGGTAACTATAAAAATTTTTAATATTCATCGATAATAAATATTACTATTATTTTTTAAAATAATATTAAATTAAAAAACATTAAATAATATTAAAAATTGAAATTATTGATATAATACAAAATTAATCTAAACTTTGTAATAATAAAAATTTTGTTATATTATATAATAGTTTAATATTTTGATATTTTACAGATTAAACTATTAATATCAAATTTTCAAATAAAAATTATTAATTAATTAATGTAATTAGTTTTATTATTTCTTTATACATCTTTATACATTATGATATTTATAATATAAAATTGCTAATATAATAAAAAATCAAAAAAAAAACTTTTTTCATAAATTAAATTTTTAGTAATGAATTTAATAAAAAGTTGAATATTCCATTAATTATATTACGTTTTTAATATATCTAAATAATGATAAAATTATGAAATTTTCATAACAATGTTCCCAGTGTGTAACAGTGTGCTGACCTTGTTGGGCGTTGCGATTGGCTTACGAAACGTCGGCTGATTTCGAAGTTACTCCAATATGAATGTTCGTTCATTCTTAATCTTCGTGGTAAAGCGTTCGGCCACTTGTTGATTCTTTAAATTATATTACAAAGAAGAAATAATACATCATTTTTGAAAAATTATAATGAGTAAACCGTAAGTATAAGTTTTGTATTATTTTCAATAAATTAAAAATTTAGATTTGTAAAAACTTGATAATTTGATTTATATAATTATTTTTTATTAGAATAAAATTTAATAGATAATCAATAATTAACCAATAATTAATTAATCGATTATTTAAAAAATAAGAAAAGTAGATAGTACAAATAGTACACATATATTGAAAATGAAAATGAAAATTAAAATGAAAATTGAATTAAAAAAAATTTTTTTCTTATCACATTTAGACATTAAAATATATATATTTCTTAGATAATATATTTTTTGTGATATATAATTTAATGAAAAAATATATTTTATATTATAGAAGTGCTGATATTGCCCTTATTGGGTTGGCTGTTATGGGTCAAAATTTGATCCTAAATATGAATGATCATGGATTTGTTGTATGTGCCTACAATCGTACAACAGATAAAGTTAAATCTTTTTTGGAAAATGAAGCCAAAAATACAAAAGTTATTGGTGCATATACATTGAAAGAAATGGTAGACAAATTAAAATCACCAAAAAGAGTAATGCTTTTGGTAAAAGGTAAAGTTCTATTATAAATTTTGTTTTAAAATTATAACTTGACCTTGAGATAAATTATTATTTGTTTTAATTATATATTATTTAAATGTTTATATATAATAATTAATTAATATATAATAATTAAATAATATAGAAATTCAATTCAATTTAAATATTTAATATATAATAAATATAATAAATAATAAATATCTTTAATAATATATATATTATCTTAGCTGGTGCAGCTGTGGATGCATTTATTGAACAATTGATACCTTTATTATCCTCTGGAGATATTATCATTGATGGTGGTAATTCTGAATATCAAGATACTGATAGACGAACTAAAGAGTTAGAAAAAAAAGGAATTTTGTTTGTTGGTAGTGGTGTTAGTGGAGGAGAAGATGGTGCTAGATATGGACCATCTTTGATGCCAGGTGGTAATCCTAAAGCTTGGCCACATATTAAACCCATTTTTCAGGTTTAGTTGAAATATGATTATTTATTTAAAACTTAATTTAAAACTTTAATAATATTAATCTTATCATAGATAAGATTAAATATATATTGATAACAAAATATTTTGTTTTAGTCAATCTGTGCAAAAGTCAATGGAGAACCTTGTTGTGACTGGGTTGGAGAAACAGGTGCAGGACATTTTGTAAAAATGGTACACAATGGCATAGAGTATGGCGATATGCAACTTATTTGTGAAGCATATCACATTATGCGTAATGGTTTAAAACTTAATCCAGAAGAAATGAGTCAAGTGTTTGATGATTGGAATAAAGGAGAACTTGATTCATTTTTAATTGAAATTACTCGAGATATTCTTAAGTACAAGGATGAAAAAGGATATTTATTAGAACAAATTAGGGATACAGCTGGTCAAAAAGGAACTGGAAAATGGACAGCTATTGCAGCATTAGATTATGGAGTACCTGTAACTTTAATAGGAGAATCAGTTTTTTCTAGGTGCCTTTCTGCTTTACAAAGTGAAAGAATAGAAGCAAGTTCAGTATTAAAAGGTCCTGATGCTATATATCAAGGTGACAAAAAACAATTCCTAGAACATTTGAAAAAAGCTCTTTATGCCTCCAAAATTATTTCCTATGCACAAGGTTTTATGCTATTACGGGAGGCTGCAAAAATTCATAACTGGAATTTGAATTATGGTGGTATAGCTCTTATGTGGAGAGGAGGATGTATTATAAGAAGGTACATGTATATATTTATATTGAAATTTAATATTAAATAATAAAAAAATTTTAGTAATAGTATTTTATCATACTTTTATTTTTAGTGTCTTTTTGGGCAATATAAAAGCAGCATTTGAAAAGAATCCAAAACTTTCTAATTTATTATTGGATGATTTCTTTACTAAAGCAATGACAGAATGTCAAGCTAGTGCTAGAATAGTAGTATCCACAGCTGTAACATTAGGCATACCAACTCCAGCATTATCAACTGCTTTAGCTTTTTATGATGGTTATAGAACTGCACGACTTCCAGCAAATTTACTTCAAGCTCAACGAGATTATTTTGGAGCTCATACTTATGAATTACTTGGTCAAGAAGGAAAATTTGTACATACCAATTGGACTGGACATGGTGGAAATGTATCTGCTTCTACATATGATGTTTAATAATTATGATTATAATTTTTAATAACAAAATGTATATATAGTTAATATTATATATGATAAATGTTATTATATATATATATTATATATGATATATGATACATATAAAATATATATATATGTGATATATGATATATATTATATATGATAATTTATATGTATTATATTCAATAATACATAAATGATTATAAAATCATTGGAAAAGATTTTGTTCAAAAAAAATAAATTTATTAAAAAAATATATATATTAATATATATATAAATTATTCATTTTTTGTTTTTTAATTGTGTATACTAAATTATCTTATTAAATTATACAAAATAAAGATATATATATATACAATAAAAAACCAATCAGATTTAAAAGAATATATATTTATACAAAAAAGCAATAATAATTAGTAATACATGTCTCTTTTATATAAAAAAATTTGTATTATAAGAAAATAGTAAAGCATAATTTGTCAAGTCGTTCAACAAATCTTGTGAAATGTGGAAGTAATTTAATCTAACCTAGCTGTTGTTACAATTATTAATATATTACATTTCTATTAATAAGGTATTGATATCATTTTATAATTTTAAGAATATTTTATTTAATGCAATAAACATTTAGTTTTTAAACATTTAATTTTAAACTAAAAAGTTAGTAAAAATGGAACATTTTGACTTAACAACACCGATATCGACTAAAATGGAAATCCAAGTAAAAATAATTTCGCGCCATGAGTCATCAAAGTCAAATAAAACTTCATAAAACTAGCAAATATACAATTAATATAAATACTAAATATTTCTTATTTTATTTTCTTCTAAATTAAAATATATGAAATATATATGATTATGTTTGAAAGAAATCTATGTTAATAATTTAATAATACAATTTAATTTATTTTGAAAAATATTATATTTAAATGGAAATGTAAAAAAGTTTATGCTGTGATATTATAAAAATAAATTTATACTAGCATTAAACATATAATTAGCACTGTATATATTTTAACAATTAAGATTTGAAAGATACTATTGAGAAAATGATATCATAGAACCCTATTTCAGCCGTCCCTGAAGCGCATCGGTTTTACTGACCGTAGACGGGCGACGTAGTCTGCATCATTCATTTGCAAAATGGCTGACCATAGGGAAAGGGATTCATATTATTCGCAAACGGATTTAAGATCAAAAAATGATGATCCACCGAATTCACGTTTATTTGTTATATGTCACAAAAGTCTGGAAGAAGATGACCTCAGAAAAGCCTTTGAAAAATTTGGAAAGATCGAAGATATTTGGGTGGTTAAAGATCGTATTACAGGGGAAAATAAAGGTAATTCCTCTTGTCTATAGAAGAAATCAATAAGACTTTACTTTATTTTTTTAATATTTTTTGTATATTTTTAAATTTATTTATATAATTTTTATTTATGAAAATTGTTTATTTATATGTTTTTTATATCATCATTCAAACATTTTAAAAGTGATTCATTGTTTACGTAGGAGTTACATACATTAAATTTTCGAAAACATCAGAAGCAGCTTTCGCATTGGAAGAAATGAATGGAAAAATGTTGGGTTCTGTTGGAAGACCTATTAAAGTAATGATTGCATCAAAGTAAGAATTTAAATAATTAATAAGACAAGAAGAATTAATTTTTAATTCAAAAAGATCTTTTAAAAGATTATTTTTTTTAGTATACAATATTATTGATAAATATAAAAATGAAGACAATTGTTTCAGCCGTGATCAAGGATCTGTCAGAGAAACGAATGAAGAAGAAAGATGGGTTCGTTTGTTTTGTGTGTTACCTAAATCTATGACAGATAGTGAACTTCAACAAGAATTTTTAAAATTTGGACCTATTGAATATGCAACAGTGGTTAAAGATAGGAATACAAATGAATCAAAAGGCTTTGGTTATGTGAAATTTAAAAAAGTATCCAGTGCAGCAAAAGCATTTGAAGAATGTGATAGAAAATATAAAGCTGTATTTGCTGAACCAAAAAAACCAAAACCTGAACACATTGATGTAAAATATAATAATGGATTATCTTCTCATTATGATAGTACTAGTGGAGGTTATAGTTCATCAAATTTTGGAAAGAGTAGTATTAGTTTAGAAATTGCCACAAATTATCCTAATTCTGAAGGTTATACACATTTACAAGTAATTGCACATCCAGCATTAAATCAAGATCAATTATGGAAGTTGTTTGACATTGTACCTGGATTGGATTATTGTCATTTGAAAAATGATGTAAGGTACAGAATGCCAAGAGGTCAGGCTGTTGTAGTATATTCTAATCCTAGTGCAGCAGCATATGCAAGAGAAAAATTTCATGGTTTTGAATACCCACCTGGTCATAGGATGATAGTAAAACCAGATTTATCAAGTGCACCTCCAAAAAATGCAATAAAACCTGGAAGTTCTGGTGGAATTGCTAGTGCTAGGACAGATTTAGCACATTTAGCTGAAACTATTGCTCAAGCTACATCTTTAATTCAAGCTGCAGGATTAACTGCACCAAGTGAGAAATTATTTTGTCTATGTAATGTAATAATATATAATATCTTTATATAATTATATTTTTACATAATTAGGTTTAGAGCATTCAATGTGTGTTAAGTTACCACCTGTGCAACCAATGGCTAGTATAGATGCAGAGGTTGCTAAAAGATGCTTTATTGTATGTGGGCCTCCAGTACCTCCCATATATGCTATGAAGGATGCTTTTTGCAGATTTGGAAATCTTATAGATGTTTATATGCTTCCAGGAAAAAATTGTGGTTATGCAAAATATGCTAGTGTGGAAAGTGCAAATGAAGCAATTGAGGTATATTTTATCAATTGCAATATACAATTACAATAATTCCTAAATAAAAAATAAAATTAAGTAGACTAATTAATTCATAAAATTATATTGTTTTATAGGTTTTGCATGGACAAGAAATTTGTGGATCTCGACTAAAAGTACTGGAAGCAGAAGAGCGCAATGTCGGTGAAGATCGTAGAAAACGATTACGGACGGATGAAGATGAAAATTAAATTATTTTTGTATATCTCGTAAGTAAATCGTCGAATACAAGACAAAAAGAAAGGAGGGAAAGAAAAAGGCATTTAAATATTAACACCCTGACGTTGTAACTGACGATAACTTTACTTAAAAAACAGGAGAAAATGTAATTTTTCTATTTGTCTTCACAGACTGACTGGTATACACAAGCTGGACGCAATAAAAGAGACGAATTTTAAGACTCACTTGACCACGTCGGGCCCGCATCCAAGGAAACTACTCCAACTACCTACTTTTAACTACCGCTTACGTTCGCGATTTCAACGTTACTGAAACTTTAACGCTACTTTACTTTATCCTTACATGTCGTTACACATATACACACATACACATGACTTCCTGGTTTTATTATTTTATTGAGGCCTGTGCGAAAAGTGAAAAAAAAATTAAATTAATTTAAAAATTCATTTTACAAATATATGGAACATATGAAATTAGTTAAATTTTTATAATTAATTTAATTCCTTCCTTTAACATAAGGAAGATATATGATGCAATATATTTAAAGTGCGCATTTATTGTTATATGATAATATAATATAGATTAATCAGAAGTAAGAGGTAAAAGGTCTCTCTTTCAATGCATATATTTTTGTATTAAATTGCAATTAAAGTTTATTTAAACAAATTAAAAAAAAATAAATTAATTCATTTTTAAATTAATGAATGATTAATAAATCAATAAATGAAAGAAACAAATGTTTCTAGAAAGAAAATGAAATTATATTTTAATATAATTATATTTTATATTCTTGTTTATAAAACAAGGATTATATTATTATTAATTATAATATTAATTTTAGCTATTCGTGCAGGCTTTAAAATATAACCTATGCTTTAGAATTAATAATATATGTTTTTGTTTATTATTTATATCCGATAGTACTGTATAATTCTTTTATTAGCTATAATATGTATGAAAGAAAACATAAAGTATTTATTTCTTGTATGTATTTCAAGAAATATTCAAATTTCATAATGACAAATAATAATATATTTCATAGAATTAAAATTTCAAAATAAGATTTATTCCATAGAATAATATTTATTTTTGTGAGTATTTTGCAAATGTAATTTTGTATGTTATAATATAGTATTACATAAAATATAAATTGAAATTATATTTTTTTAACTATAAATATAGTAAATGCAAATATAAAAAATATTTTTATGTGCAAAAGATATATTTGATAAAAGTAATATTAAATTTTATCATAGATTACAATAATTTTAATTTTAGTTACACAGTAAAATATTTAATTCAATTTTAATATTAAACAGATTTGGAAATATTTCATTCATCAGTTTTTTCTAAATAAAATTAGTTTCTTTAAATACACAATTACAGATGTAAAAATAAAAAAAAATTTTTGGACATTTTCTATGGAAATATTACACGTAAATCTTGTTTTGGAATCAATATTCATGTGTATAGATGTATTTTGCAAATATTTTAATATGCTAGTTTTTACATTTAGATCAAATTTCTTTAAAAAAAGTACATTTTCTTAGGGAATTAATATGTTCATGATCACAAATCGTGAAATACCAATATATAATTAACGCACAACATGAACATTTTATGATGGACATTTTGTACATGTATTAGACTGTTCTACTCAATGACTATACGCAATGATGTTTTAGGAGACTGTAACTGACTTGTTTGATGATATTAAAATACACATTGAATATTCAAAATCTCACACTGATTTTCACTTAATTTTTTTTTTACACAGAACAGAATATCTTACTTTGCATTATATATTCATAATTTACTAATTTGATATATTTTTTCTTTTATCTTTCAGGATATCTAAAGGATTCAAAGATGTGTACCTGTGATGACTGTGATATAGCAGAGTAAGATATTACTACCATTGTGTATATGAAGCTTAAAATATAAAGAATAAATTATAATTTTATATATTTTCTCCTTTTTATTACTGAACGAAGATTTATATCAGAGGATTATTGTATTTGCACTCATTTATGCATTTCACTTTTATACTGCACTTTTAAAGTATACGATGTTTATAATTTATTTTTTGCATATTTCTTTGATATGTTCATAAAATGTGCAATAAAATAATTTTTATAGAAAAACGGTATGATGTTATATTTAATCGATTCCCGAATCATCGGTTAGATTTGAATTGAAAAGACAAAAAAATTCCCAGCAGGTGTCGCAATGTGTAATACATAAGAAAAAATTTTCGCGCCAGTAAAATGCATTGAAATTAAGCGTAAAGTTATGAAGAGATTATTTTAATCGTGTTCATCATTTGAGTGGTTTAAGTGAGGCACGTTTTGCATCAATATAGGTTAACAGTGAAATAGAGGGGGTAACAACTCACGTGTTACCGAACGTGCAGCGTTATGCGGAACAGTCACTCGGTGCGATAGATATGTGATGTTCGGTGTAGTTCAGTCCTCAGAGATATTACTGTCTAGTACGCATCGTAGTGTTTACTATATTGTGAAAATAACAGAAAGGAAATTAGTGAAAACATTTGTTTTTCATTTAATTTACTGATTTTTTATAATCGATTAAATGGTGCATTATTTTTAATTTAGATAGTGAATACGAATATATTTAAAAAATACTTTTCGTTCGTATATTTAAAAAATCCCTTTTCGTTCATGTAAATACAAACAATTTCTTCGTGTTTTTTCTTTATCATTTTTATAACTTTTACCGCCAAGAAATATAGAAATGACATGTGAACGAGTTTGATTTAGTAGCAGTGTTGTGATTCAACGGATATTATCTGAAAGAGAAACTACCCTTAGAAGAGAATGATGGAAGAGATATCCACTGAAAATGCTAAGGTGTCGGATTCCGGATATTCTAATACTTGTAGTAACAGTCAATCACAACGGAGGTATGTATTGAATTCTTTTAGTGTTTGATTCTTTAATTTTTTTTAAGTACTTTGAATTTATCCTATTATATGACATCAATTTTAATATGGCGCCATCGATTTTAAATTATGAATTTTAAGCAACTTATAAATATTAGTATAATACTAGTTTTTTCACTTATAATCTTTCTTTCATGTCAACACAAAAAATATAACGAATATTAATAAGTATCAATAATTATTATACTATCTGATTTATTTTTCTTAAATAATACATAAAAAAATATAAATAAATTGAAAAAAATTTATTTAATATAAATATTAATATTACACAATATAAAAGCTAAAAGTTATATAAGTTGTTAATTAAGAAGTATTCATTAATTTATTCTTATTAAGTTATATATATCATGTGCAATTTATATGTACAAATATTATGTGAATATTCATATCGCACATTATCAATATTTTCATTTAAATATGGACATATAAGAAAAACAATGTGTGTGTGTGTGTGCGCGCGCGCGCGTGCGCGTTTTATGTATTCCTATAATTTTTTTTCTATCTTTTCTTCTATTTAAAAAATATAAGATTTAATTTTTCCTTTTTTTTTTTCATTGATTTTCTAATTAATTCTGATTTTATTTTTGTGATTGATTAAATGGATACTTGCATAACTACTATTTGTACAACATATATTTAAATATTATTCTATATGATTGTTCAAAATTCAAAATAAATCAAAATAAATTTTCGATTAAATGTTAGTGAAATCTACATCAAATGATGTGGATTAACCAATATATCATTTCACACGCGATAAAAAGCGTATATTAGAAGTGCAATTTTTAATTGCGATTTGAAATCTTATCATTTGAATCCTTCATCTTATGAAGGATTTAAGAAAATTTTATAATGATTTGTATATACAAACTTGAAGCAACTTCTATAATTTGAGTTTTTTATGTTTTGTGTAATTAATTTTCAATATTCATTTATAAAATTTAAATTTTATAATATATTATTGAAAAAAAACGAATTAACCGAATGATTTAACAATTGATATCACAAATCTATGAATTGTACATATATATATATATTTGTACATATATATATATATTGTACATATATGAATTGTATATATATATATATATATACAAGATCTAGATAGATAGTTCAATATTTACGAAGAATTACAATTGTCTATATATTTTAATATTTTGATATTTTAATATTTGATGTAATTTTGAAATGTATTGAATTATTGATAACATAATATTAAACTATAATTTGAAATAGTATGAGTGTAAATTTCATTTGCAAGAAAATCAATTGATCAAATTATTGGATTTTTAAAATTTGATCACATATATCTACAAAATAATGATTGTAACCAAAAAATCGATCATTCTTCAATTTCATTAGGAATCTTGGATGCATATGATTTATCTTTATGAATTATCGCCTTGATAATTTTCAAATTAAACGGATTGAAAATTTACAGGATTTTAAAGGATATTCAATATAACATTAGCGCAGGATATTGGCATTGACACGCTTTGTCGATGATGTAGGTGAGAGGTAAACGAAAAATACGGCAAACAAGAAGGATAGAAACTCGAACACTACGGTTAAGGCTAACTAGTTTCTAACTAGACGAAGTATGCATTTCTACGTTCGCATTTAATACACCTAGGCACAAGTTGTGAAATTCGATGAAAACAGGTTGAACGAATGCAAAGTATATGCGAGATCAGTAATTACCATATTCACAAAACTATTTAATTGATTATTTAATTCTTTTAAATTTCTAACTATTTAATTCTAACTATTTAACTATTTAATTTTTTTAAATTTCAAGTTGTTTAAATCAGTAATTATATTGTTTTTATAAATATTTAAATGTTCAGCATTTAGACTTTCTATCTTTTAATCCAAAAAATAATTTGGCTTCTTTTATAATATCAGGAAAATTGTAACAATTCTATGATCGTTGAAATTTGGAATATATTCTTCTATTAATATGATTTTTTTTTTGTAATACTTTATTCTCTTTTCAATTATCATATTTTTCTTAATCCTGGATGGTTCCTTGGCATTATTGTGGTATCGTAATAAAACTTCGAACAAAATCGATAAATCAATCAATGTGTCGTTCGATGGGTTTTAGTCACGGGGCCACGAGCGTGAAATAGACCTTCTTATGCAATAATTTTTCTTATCGAACGAGGTGCAACAAATGTAGAAGCCTCGTGCTCGTTCCCTGGAAAATAATGAGGACAGTGAAAGGCCAGAAAGACTCCGTCGTAAGGGCCGATCATAGTAGTCACGTTTGCCGAACATGTGATCGGTCCTTTTTTTTTCCCCATTCCGTAACTGGTTTCAAAGATTTCGTGTCAGTGAATCGCGTGACTTTCTCGACCACGTTTTAATTGGCTAATGGGCCGAGGCCGTTTCTATCGTTCGAGAAATGCACCTTTGCAATCACCTTCTAATGCCTCTGTGTATTCGTTTACCAATAAAGCAGACTGCCATAAGATGTAGTTTCTACGATTCATTATTCATCACGAGTTAGATTGAGAATGCATATGATTTTTCATTTGATCAGTAAATTTTTCAATATATTTTTATCATAAGTGATCAAACAAATACTCACGAAAGACATGATTCATTTTGAAAATATAGAATATATATAGCGAGAAATATTATCTGTTTTGAAGATATTAATTACAATTTTTTCAATGGAAATTATTTCTAGTGATGATATCATTTTTATTCGGTATTTTTAAAGATGTATATTGCCGTGTAAATGTATATAATAGTCTAATTACGAAAGGTGTAAATAATAACATATGAAGCCGATAAGCAATTGATAAAATGTATATGTCCCGTAACTATGCATCATAAATTAATAAAATTTTAAATTTCATTCTGTTTATCATTCTCGTTTTTTTTTTAATTTATTAATGTTTTACTTTGATAAGTTTATAACTTATAAATTACTTAAGTAAGCAAATTTCTGTTCTATAAAAAGTTTTTATTATTTTAATAAATAGATATAATATAATTAGCTGAGTTGTAATTTGTAAAAGTAATTTTTTTATATTACAAATTTGTTACTATTACGCAAGAAAATTTATTTTAATATTATTTTAATATTAACTTGTGATTTGTAAATAATATTATATAACATTAATATTAATACAATATTAGTAAGAAAATTTGTACATCAATTTAAAAATTAATTCAAAGTGCAAGCAGATTCAGTAGTAACAGATAATCAAGGTCAGACTCAGCGAATAAACACAGTAGTTTAGTCAATTGATTGTCAGACATTAATATGTACATTATGTAATCCATATTACGATAAACATATTCGAAAATATTTATATTTTCCACTTGTTATTAAACAATACAAGAATTTATTTTAATGTTTTGTAATTCTAATATTCAATTAATTTCTATTTCAGTAGTGGCAGCTCGATTTCGAGAAACAGCAACCGCTCTGAAAGTAGTGGTTATTGCGGTAGGCGTCCTTCAACATTTGGATCCAGGTAAGACATCGTTTAAATTTTGACTTTATTCAAATACAATCAATACGACGAAGCAATCGCGATAATAACTGATTCCTATAAAATTTGTATATACAATTTTTTCTCAAAAATATATAAATACTCAAAAGATATAATTAAAAATATTATAATATATTAAAATATATTGGTCGTTGATAACAAGCGATGGTATTTACGATCGTAAGGATCTTACCATTATGCTTGAGATATCGAATCTGTAAATAATTTACAAGTCATTGCGACTGTGATTAATAAAAAATAAGAATAAGAAATCTAATGGAAATGTAATTTTTTTTCTCAGTGTTCTATGAGCTTTCTCTAAAAAAATATACAAAATATATCATTTAATTGTAATCTTCTAATATATATTACATTATTATTATATATAATTATGTATAATTATAATTATATGTCGAAAGAAGAAGTGTAACATAAGTATACATAAAGAAACATTTCTATCTAAATAAAAAAGGATTCTATCTAAATAAAAAAAGATTTGATGCAACGTGATTCATTTATTGTAATCGAAATTATCAAATATTATGAAAGATATCTGAAGATACTAAAAACGAGAAGTATACATTATTCAATTATCGGAAAATCTCTTTATATCTTAAAAATAAGATATATATAAAATTATATACACACAATTGCTACTACTTACAATATTGAATGGACATTGCATGCTAACGTGATTTTGCTCTTACACGAGGAACAATGAATGATGAATGATGAACAATAAAATTAAAACAATGATAACATGACATTATATAAAAACGATGCAATTCTTTTCATAAATTCTCATAAATTTTAAAAACGTTGCATGATGATTTTTTTTATTCAGATCACAAAATTTCATTGTGATGAATCATCTAGATATGTTTTTTTATTTCTTCTATTTTTATACATATGTATGCAATTGAATTTATATAATTTATGAAATAAATTTTTCAGATCAGTTTTTATTCTCGGTATATTCATGTGTATATTAAAATTGTTGTTCCATAATTATCACGATTGTGAAGGTGACATAGCGCGCTAATGTGGATTTTTAGCATTGTATTCATGCATATGTAGGAGAACGATTACATTCAGTTACGAGAAAGCGCACACAACTGCCGCTATAAACATTGGTGCATGTGCAGTGCCACGTGCCTGCAATGTCGCCATCGGCGTCGCCTACGTGGCATGAGATATCCCCACGTATCGTTGCATAATCTGGATAGGCTGTTCCGTTGTAATAATAAATCAACATCAAGTCTATAAATTATAGTTAAAAGTCTATTTTCTATTGTTTATGGGATATAATTAGACATAGAGAGAAAAAAAAAGAAGTAGTACTTTGAATTATTTATTTATCGAATTAATAATTTTGTTTTCAATGCTTTCTTTTTCTATTGAATTTCCTATTTCATTCGTCACCGATTTTTGATGAATTTTTTTTTTTTATAAAATATTTTTTTTCTTTACATGTATGAAAAAACCGATTGCTGAAAATCGATTACAATGTGCGATTCGAGATCACGTGCCACTGTTTGTATGATTCAAAATTTTTGCCGATCAGAAATATGCCTCGCATCATTGCGCGTTTATTGATTCTACGAACCAACAGCATGAGAATATACAATACGTTATTAACACGTATCGCGCGTGTTTCATAGAGAATTATAGAAAAGAGAGACTTCGTGAGGAAATCCTTCTATAATTTGCTCGTGGCTAATAGAGGTCAAGGTTACGTGCAATTACGATATCACAGGCGCCTTTCTGTCATCTCAAATACGATGTGTATATTTGGAAACTTTAATTAACCGTTTTACTTGTAGTTATATTTAACTACCAAACAATGGAAACATTATTAGTTTATATTGGGTATTGTAATTTTAATTGCTTTTTCTCGCTGAAAATAATCGTAAGAAGATTGAAATAAACACAATGTCTTTTGTTCTATAGAATGGGACACAAATCTGTATGAGAAATGTACACTTAAACTCTGGATTATTACATAATGTAATTATGAATTATATGAGATACGAATTTAACAAATTTAACAAATTTAACTTTTATATAATAATTGATGATTAATTATGATTAAAGAAAAAAGATAGAATCACAAAGTCTCTTTTATTTATTATAAAACATTGAAAATGATTATTATAAATTCAAAAGTACAAATATCATTAAAAAATAAAATATTCATATTGTTTAAATAACCAGAAAGCTATTCGAGTATGTCAACATTTTCAAGATTCGTGAACTCGGAAATATGAAACTCTAAATAGCCAATTTTATCTTGGAGAAAGCTTGAAAGGTTTATCGTTTAGAGAAATGCAACTTTCTATTTGTTACCTAACAAATGCAGTCACGATTTGATGATCTAAAACATTTGTTACGTATATACTATTTTTATTGTTATTTCCTGGTGAAAGTCGTTCCAATATATTTTAATATCACTCCATTCTTACAACTCTATAATAGTATTCTAAATCTAGTTATGATTATGATTAGATAGTGGCAATTTTTTTAATGAAGCAATTGTAAAAGCAACAAGTGAACTTGCAGCTCATGTTCGCATTCATATCCAATAGATTTCTTGTTTGTTGACTCAGCGGAAAGCAAATTTATTTTTAGAACATATGTATAGTTGATATTTTACTCGTTGAAAGTGTACGATGAATACTAGCTTTTCCGCTAGTATATATCGCGCTATTGTTAGAAAATGCTTGAGAATAAATACGTTTTATTTAAGATTAGTTCGATAAGATTTTTTTTCGAAAATAATTGTATCGATGTCACAATATTATATTAAATCGTTTTTATAAAAATTGCACGAAATATTAAACTTACTTCAAGTCTATAAATCTAACAAAACTTTAGTTAACTGCATGTTTACTACAAACAATTTTATGTCAAATTTTATGTAATTCACATCATTGATCGCGATTGCAAATTAATGAGAGAGATCTCCTTCTTTTCTTTGCTACCAAATACGATTAAACAATATCGTAAAAACTATTAGATTCCACGATACGAAGTTTAATAGTCTTCTCACGCTATCCTTCAAAATTAAAATCCTATTTGTTCTATTAATTTTTGGATTTGTCCGCTAAATGAGATTACAAGTTTTTCCATTTTTTTACATGTAATGTTTACATGAATGTGTAGCAATGAAGCCCTACCACAGCCAATCAGCAAAAGAAAGGATAAAGAATATAAGAAGAAGAAGTCGAAGACGATTTTGGCTGTTAACGTTGAGGCAGATATTAGCCTGAAAAATGCCGGCACACCGCCAGAAGCCGTGTCTTATAATGTCGCCGTCCCAACGAAATCTATACTTGAAAAGAAACCAGGTTGGTTGCGATCTAAAATTGATGGGAAAAAGTGCACGTTAACTGTATAATCTCGAAAATTTTTTAATCTTTAATGTAGCTCGGTTAAAAAGTGATCAGAAGTGTGCGATCATTAGATTATGTAATTGATATCGTAAAAGAAGGAAATAATATCAAATTCTGACTCTGTCGGACCAATCATTCGTTCTTACTACTGACTTTATCGAATTCAATTCCTTCTTCGAATTTTATGATTAATCAAGATATAATTTTGAATAAAATTTAATTTGAGGATGAATTTGAATATTTTTCTGTTTTTTTTTTTTTATTTATCGAAGATTTTAATAAAATTAACGAGAATTATAAGAGAAATGCAAATTAATTTCTTTCAATGAAATGAAAGAAAGATCGATAATTTTATGCGATGTTATTTGGTTTCGTGCACTTTTCTTATTAGTTAGGTTTCGCTTATTCACAATCAAAGACTTTACGAACGACCTATTATTTCCCTCCTTGTTCATCCTCATGGTTCCCTTAGTCCGCCAGACATTAAGTCTGAAACAATCAATTGCATCTTTTTTGTTTAAAATTAAAACGATCGAGTGTTTTCTAATTTCATTACTTTTTGCTCGTTCGAGTTTTAATTCAAACAAAAGAGAAATTCAATGGATCTAGAGGATTCGTCTGCTTTGATATTTTGGTGACATTTTTAACATCGATTTCCCTAATAATTTCTGAACGAAACAATTTCCAAACATAAATTACTGACGTTGTTACTATGGCAATTAATCTCAGTTCTATTTAACACGAACGAAACCTTGAAAAGAGCACCCTATTTCTAATTTCCAACTAAATATTGATCCTTTCTTGTTTTATTATTAGCACCAATATTGTGCACGAATCCTTTAGAGCTTGTAATTATAAGCGAAATGTCATCAATAAACCAATGTTATTCTGTGAATCGAAATTAAAATTGAAATTAAAATGATTATATACTGAATGATAATTTAATTATTAACGTGATGCAAATAATTTCTTGATTAGATTGTTACAGCGATAAAAAGATGCAAAGAATTTATTTGGTTCGGTTCGCACGAAATATGTATTTATGTATATATGAAGAACAATTGTCGCAATGAACGGCGATCCCGAAATAATATAATAAATATATTTTAAGCATTGCAATTAATTTCTCGATATATTGATTTTATATAATCACGCAGTGCTATCCGTGGACAAAAGGCAGGTTCCAAGCTTTCCATTTAGTCAAGTTGCGCTTAAATTGAACCTCTCTTTTATATAACATCGCCTATGATTTACGTAATTATTTACATAATTTTTAATACTCGAATAATCAATTCTCGGATAGGTATTTTTTCATTGATCGTTACGAACTTGCAGAATATACAATAGGAAATATTTAAGCGTAAAAATAGATCTGTTATATAATTACGATATTCGTTTGTTTATTTTATTAAAACTTTTTTTAAAACTTTGGAAAATTGATCAGATCTCGTTTAATATTAATGATATGATGATAATTGATGATAAATGATGATAATATCAATGAACGATTAATAAAACTAGATTTCAGAAATTAGATAAAAAACGAGAAGTAAAAATTGTCTTGATACCAGTTTGACGTTATTCAACAATCTCTCTACAGAGCAAGTTGAATTATTTTCTTTTTTTTTTCTTTTTTTTTTTATATATCGAATAATCTTGGTAGGTTCACATTCGTATATACGAAACATTGTCGCAATAATGTTGTCCTCTTGGGCTAAGGAAACATTGCAACTCTCCCATCTTCCTTTAATTCATTACTCTAGCAACAGGTCACGTCTTACATGTTTCTTGGACGTATTCTATATTTTGATCTTTATTTACGCGACGAGAAAGGTCACTATACGTAATGCTCACCTAAAATTAAAATGATGTCGAGACGTCCATGAAACGTTATTAAATACGTAACCGATGCTACTTGGTGAAAGATCCATGTCCCATCAGCAAACACGGGCGAGTGTGTTAAAGAGGAACAATACATAACAAGGGGAATTTTTGTTGGGTGTGTACAAGAAGATGTAACCACTGTAGAATTGGTGGATGCAACGGATCCCGGCGAGCACAACGGCGATACAGTGACAGATGTGGAAGCAGGGCTTGCTTCTCGTACGAATCCCCTGGATGATTCCATCTCTCAGGCCAATGTTAGTATTAATTAAAAAAAAAAAAACCAACGGAGAAATAGATTTCTCTTAACTAGTAATTGTGGTAGAAGGAAGTAGAAAAATAAAACATGATCGATCAAGATTCTTCTTCCTAGAAAGGATCCAGGATCGGGCATTCTAAAAGCATCCTGTCGTATTTGTTAATTATTAATCTTAACCCTAGTACTTCCCGTATCGATATTCTTCTTCAATTCTTTTCTTCAATTAATTGTAATTTGGTGTGGCTTTCTATATACGATGATGTAACACAGTAGTAACATTATTGCAAGGTTTCAGTAGTGTTATGCATGGAGAAAGGAGATTTATCATTGGAATTGACAACTGTTACTAGCAAAATGACCTTCTAGTGGCAAATAAACTATGTCTCTTTAGAAATATCAGGTTTTCTTTTCTTCTCCTTTTAATATCTATATTAACAAATATTATCATTTTCTTCAATACCTGTTAATAAGATTTGTCTTAATTTTTCAACTTAAATGGGTGAAGGTTTACTAATCAACTTACATAAATATATTTAAATTTTTATATATATTATAGCTTTTCTTTTTTTTAATTTCTATTTTCAATTATTCAGAATTCCTTCAAATGAATGGAAATTACATTCTTTAATAAAAACACAATTCTTTTCTCCCTGCATAGTAAAAATCGGCAAAAAATGCTATTGTAAGATATTATTGTATGTAAAATGTAATTCTACTTCAGACTTTGTAATTAATAGTAATAGAAAACAAAAAAAAAAAAAAATAAAAAATATTGAAAAAAATTTGTATAAATCGAGGTCAAAGTAGCGACGAGTTCTCTCTACAAGCTACCTATGTAATAAATAACAAAAATGTTGAAAATTTATGTGACCATTATCTTGATGACATAGATTCAATGTCATCTACGTGCTAATGAATAATTTTAATCTTATTAAATAATATTATTTAGATAATTTAAATAAGAATATTTCATTCAATTTTATAAATAAATCTATTAGCATTCATCGTTGGAAATCAAAGTCTATATTTGTATATTGTATATTCTATAGGAGGGGTTTTGCGCAGTGATTTCAATGCACGACGGCCTCGTATTGTATACGACTCCCTCGATATGCACAGCTCTAGGATATCTCAAGGATGCATGGATTGGCCGTTCTTTCATCGATTACGTTCATCCCAAGGATAAGGCCACACTGGCTGATCAGATTAAAAACGGAATAGTCTCGCCTCAAGAAGAAAGACCGAAAGGTATTTACTTACTCCTTCGAATCAAATACATTAAATTAAGATACATTGTAAAATTTAAATTTAAAATTTATATTAAAGATTGTTATTGATGATAATTGATTTGATCAGGTATTAACGGGAGAAGAGCAAGTCTGTTTTGCGGATTGCGAAAGTACACAAGATCTTTCGTTCATCAATCGATCAACAAAGAGGCAAGATCGAATTTGTATCTTCCGTTCCACTTGACTTTGTCATTCAGAGATTTTCGAGATCGTACGACTGAACAGCAACACAAAGCAATGTTCCTGGTGGTTACTGCTCAACCTGTTCACTCTGCATATAAAGGTAGTATGGTTAAAGATGTTCGAGGAGATTCGACTGATAAAAAAATTTGATAAATATCCTCTTAAATATAAAATTTAAACAGATATATAATTTATTTATTAGTCGTTGGAAAAATAGTAAATGATAATAATCAAGTCATTTCGTTAGTCTACTCTCCTCGATGATACAATATGATTCGGTGGTTTCCATGGCGACGTATCTTAAACAGAAGGTAATTTTTATTAAATTAGAAATATTTGTTAGAGGATCGTGACAATGTTGATAATATTTTATCTTTGTCGTTTTTTTATTTATTCGTTTTTTTTTATTCATTTGATCAGTCTATTTATTTTTGTTCAGTTTGGAGACCACTGTTTCTATTATTTATTTGAGTAACAGCAAAAAAAGAAAACAAGAATAACAATGCACGGATTATTTTTCATGTAAATATGAAAACATATTATATTTTATTTGATGCGCACATAATAATCTTTTATTATTAACATCGATTCCATTAGAAAATTTTTCTTTCAAATCCTTTCAACAAGTCTGTTCGAAATTCATAAATAAATTATCCAAGAGGTTGGTGCGATGTTTTTTTTTTTTTTCAAAATATAATAAATTATATTATTTCATATTTACGTAGGTAGAGCGGACAAGACTAATTCATACAGACTTGTCTCGGCAAATCGAATTTGTAGCTTTGATTGACCATAAAGACTTAAAACTTTCATCATGAAGGAAACATCTGGCAGAAGAGAGAATGACCCCGACCTTCTTTATTATCATTATCCGCAGCGCCAGAAGAAACAATAATATCTTCGGTATTCACCACCCGCCACAACGCAACGTGCTATTTATCCCATGTTGATCCCGACGTAGTCCAATACTTTGGCTATCTACCTCAGGATATGGTTGGCCGTTCGCTGTTTGACTTCTACCATCCCGAGGATCTGCCTTTCATCAAAGACATCTATGAGACTGTGAGCATGTGCCCCAGAAAAAAAAAACAAAGCAAATCTTTAGGTTTTGATCGAATATACGTTTGAGAGAAAGAGAGAAAAAAAGAAAGTATGCGAGAGAATGATAGAATAATCCACAGAAAATGCGGATTAGCACAAACGAATCCCAAGAAGTGAACGTCGAATGAAATAAAAAAAAAAAAAAAAATTCCTATTTTCTCGATTAATTATTATATTTATAAATATATCGTTGAACAGGTTATCAAGCTCGAAGGTGCCTCGTTCAGATCGAAACCCTACAGGTTCGGGATACAGAACGGAGACTACGTCGTCCTCGAAACAGAATGGTCGTCCTTTATCAATCCCTGGACGAAAAAACTAGAATTTGTCGTAGGTCAACACAGGATATTGAAAGGGCCAGCGAATCCTGATATCTTTCGCGTATCATGTGCAACTGAGCACAGCCAATTGACCAATATTAGCGAGGAAGTGCTAAAAGAGGCCAAGATTATACAAGAAGAGATACGTACACTTCTCGACGAGGTATGTCTTTCCTCGATAATTTATGCTGAACCTGAGAGTGTATGTAAATAACTAAATAGATCGTGATATAATATTGTTTGATAAGATAAACATAGATAACTAGGGTTTGTAATTTTAAAATTTAATATCTATATACCAAAAGACGAATCACATCGACTATACATATTTTTTTTATGCAATGATCATTAAACAAGTTATAGTTTAAATTATTATAAAAGAAATCACGTTCTAATTATTTGACCGAATTGTTACACATTACATAGAATTAATTCTTTGTCTTTCTTCAGGATAATGAAATACACAGACAAACAATAAAAATGTTCATCATCGTATAATATTTTCCACGAAATTCTTCTTCCCAATAAATATGTTCGCTCAACCCCCAATTTTTTCTTTTTTTGTTCTATCTTACGTCTGCGCAGAACATCCAAAGAAAGTCAGATATTACCGAGCTCGACGTGTCAAAGAGATGCAAGGACCTCGCGTCCTTCATGGAAAATCTGCTGCAAGAGACGAAAACACCCGGTTTTGGCAAAGATGTGCTTGCTACCGACGAAAGGAGTTTTTCGGTGACTATTAGCTACGTTTTAGTATCGCCGACACTTATCTATTTTGCTAGTAGTACGGTATAATGCGTTGTGGTGGTATACTACAAGTATATTTACAATAACTATAATATTAGATCGTTCCTCTTATGAGGGTTCAACGTGAAAGGTATTTCCCTTAGATTTTTTAAAAAAAAAAGAGATTTTCGTTCGTGTCGCTCTACGGCTGCACGATGTGTGCGATAATATTTCGATACAATGTTGTCTTCGTTATTATTTTTTTGTTTTCTTAAAATTCGATGTTTTTTTATATTTTCTAAAATATCTATTTTGATCTCAAAGTGCAAAACGAATTCGTTGTATCGAATTTTTATCGTCAATATCAAGAGAGAAAAGAAGAAATTTTCTGTAAATTCATTAATAAATTGCTTTATCTCATTTTATATGATTAGCGTTTTAATTAATCGAATTTGAATTTTTCTTGTCAAATTTCTTCTTTTTTTTTTTTTGCTGATACAGGATTGCATGATAAATAGAGTACAAATAGTTGGGTGAAGGATTAATAAAAAAAAAATTCTATGTTGATATATCTCACGAAGCAAATAAATTTGTGTTCGTATAAAATAAACATATTATGAAAAGAGAAAGTAAAAGAAAAAGAAAATTATGAAAATTTAAAAACTCAGTGATATCTTGAGATAATTTATGAACTTTAAAAATAAGAAAAATGATAAAAAATCGATAGAAAAAAAGAAAGATTCTCATTGCTTCTGAACGATATATCCTAGAATTTTTTACATGACTTGAAAGTTAAATTGGTGATTAAGGTGAGTAAGGAACAGAGCAATTGATTAAACATTTTACAGCCTGATGACATGTCAAAAAGGTTATCTCAAAATAATTAAAAACCTTTCACGAGTTAGGGTATTTATGCAACTCTTCTTCTAATTCATAATATGATTAGTTGTAAGTAAAGACGAAATGAACAGCAAAGATTTGTCAAGTTATTTCGTACATCGACATGGACGAAGGGCAAAGTGAAAATTATGTAGGTCTGGTGAAGGATAACGTCAATTTCAAAACCTTGTAGGCACGTTGTTGGTAAGTTTACTTATTATTTTTTTTAATTCAATTATTTGATAAAAAAAACGCCAAGCCTTTTATAAACCAATTCCAACCATTTCGATTTCAACAACTTATCTTAAAGTATCTTCAAGTAGCTAATTACTTTTTATTTTCTAGTTAGCAGGATATTAAAAAAAAATACAATTTGTTACTATATAATCTTATAAATTATCATTCAAGATTTTTTGTGAAAATATAATTATATAATATAATTATATAATATAATATAATTGAATTAAATATTTATTCTAGGCTATCTCGTTATACGATCCTTCGTTTATCTAATGGTATATCTGTATTATTATGTTTGTATTTAATAACATTGTTATTTTTTCTCTGTATCTTTATTGATTATTTTATTGAGAAAGAAATTATTTGCCTTCGATTATATTTTTTTTCTATTTTATTATTTTTGTATGGTTATATGTATTGTATGTTTCTTCATGATCTAAACGATAATTTTCTTTTTTTTCTTTTATGTTACTTTAATAATTTTTATCTTGAATAATGATATATTTTTTTTTCCATGTTTTCCAAAAATTTTTATTTACGTTAACTTTTGCCACAACTTTGTGTAAATCGAATTATTTGAAATCAAATAATCTTGTTAGGTCTCTTTTCTTGTCTCTTCATCATGCTCAAGCGTCATCAGATTGATTGTTTCACGATTCTACAAATTGTATAGTAAAATGAACGATGTATAGAAAGTTCAGTCTTCAAGTATTCGAGAAACGGTTGATATAAATTAATTTTAAAGGGCTATAAGGGCATCTATAAATTTATTGCAATACGATATTTGTGAATAGAGTTCCAGTATATCTCTTCACTTACAAGGTTTTGAAACTAACGAGGCAATATGAGAAAGCGAGAATGAAAGAGCGATTTATAAACTAAACATGCGATATTAATATTTTAAAAGTTCTGATAACAACTAGTCTCGTTCAATGACTTTTCTTTTTTTTTCACAATAACTTTATAATTATAATTTAATATTTCTAAATTAATATTTTTCTAGTTCTCTAATTATCAATAAAAAAGAAGATATAAAAAATATATGAATAAAGGACATAATGAAAATTAGAGAAAAAATATCTTATGTGCTTTTATTTTATTTTCATTATTAATACGCAAATTTTTCTAAATTTATATAGAAAAAAGATAATAAAAATCTGCTTGTATGTATAACGAGAATTTTAAAAGAAAATAAATGGTAAAGAAGAGTATGTATATGTATGTATGAGTATGTATGTACGAGAAGAGAATGTATGAATGGTAATAATGTAGGAAAAAAAGAAAAAAAACAATAAAAAAAGGGAAAGAAATTGGTTGGTTGTAATAGTTAAAGCAACTAATTGTGTTACAGAGCTGGAAAAATATTAGTTGGTCATATTGGTTGCTCGTGCGCTGTAAATATTGCATTTTTGCGGTCACAAGATTGTTGGAGAATTTACATAGTGCAGAGAAATTCCTTGCATAAATCTTAACAGCCACCTATATAGCTGAACGCAAAACGTCTAACAAAAATATTGAACGCAACGCAAATTTGCAAAACAATTGACAGTGACGAAATCAAGTGACAACTCTTTCTAAGTCGCTACAATATACTTGTGAAGGGATCACGCAATCCCTTGTTACAGGAGCACGACAGCGTGATGCTTGGTGAGATTTCGCCCCATCATGAGTACTACGACAGCAAATCGTCAACCGAGACACCGCCAAGTTACAATCAACTCAATTACAACGAAAATATTGAAAGATTCTTTAAGAGCAAACCACCAGTTGCCACTATGTACGGCAGCGATGAAGAGATTATTAATTCCAGCAATGATGAGGCTGGAAAAACAAGTCCGAATTCAGCGGGTGAGCTTTCATCTTGTAATTTCGCTATTCAATTCTTTGAAAGTAAAGAGTTAAGAATATTGTAAATTAGTCAGGAAATGCATGTCACCGATAAACGGAAGCGGCGCGAGCGGCAGCGGTAGTGCAGAAAATCTTAGCAGTGGTTCGAATAATCAAACAAGTTCAGCAAGTAGAGAGAACACTTCAAATACGACTAGTATGGAAAGTTTTAAACCTCCAACATTGACAGAGTCGTTGCTCAATCGTCATAATGAGGATATGGAAAAGTTAATGATGCTGAAGCATCGGGAACTTCGTTCTAGTATTAAGGCAAATGATAAACTAAAAGATTCTCGAATAAAGACAACTGAGAAACTGTCGACGGATCCAAATACTCATTTTCAAGTCAACCAAAGTCATGGCATTAAAAGAAGCGGAAGTCATAGTTGGGAGGGAGACAGTTTTAAAGTAAGTAATCCATCGATGAATGAACATCGAATCAGGAATTGAAAAATTAATGAGACGAACTAACATTCAAATATTAATTGATTAATTAGGTTTCAAAACATGAAGAAGTGTCAAGAACAAGTACCGCAGGCCAATTCCCTACTAATGTTGCAACAACAGTTACAAGCATGAGCATCGATCAATCTACCGTAATTCAAACAGGTGCTAATGTTAATTTGTGGCAGCCTTTATCAGTTTCTATACCACCTCCTCCATCTGCTCAAAATGTACCACAAAAGTGAGTTTTTTATGAAAAAAGAAAAAATAGTAAAACGCAGATAAAAAGTAATAATCGAATATCAAAATTAAATTGTGATTTCTTCAATTTTCAGCACAAATTCACAAGCAATACCTAGAATACCAATACTGCCAATGATACCAGTATATTGTGTCCCCGTTCCACAAGTAAACGATTCTACAATTTTATCTCCTGTACGGGAGAAACTTAGCTCATCTCAACCAATGCAACCCCCTCAACAAAATCCTTATAGTATGTACTTATTTTAATATACAATACTTATTTTAATATACATTTTAAAATTGTTTGAACAGTTATCAAAATTAAAATATTAAAATTTTAATTTCTAGTGTTCTTACCAGTTTCATATATGTCGACAACAATGGCTGGTGTCATTTATCCTCCAGTAATAGGTACTCCATCAACGGGCATGATGTACAAACCTTTTTTGATTCCTGAACAAACATCAATTTCGCACGAAAATAATCAACCTACGATGAATAAATGCTCTGATCGAAAACGACCAGCTAGTCAAGCAACAAGTGTAAAGGCGGAACCAGGTAGCATTATGGCCATGTCTGAATCCTCAAAAAAAGTAAATTAATATTTTTACATTTTTTTGTTTTTTAACTTAATTTATTTATTTATAAATAATTTTACACATATAAATTGAAAACTAGATATTATCACCGGGTGAATTGTTATCTTCTTGTGTAAGTAATGATGGAGGTTGCTCGAGCTTAGTGGATATATCAACTCCAGTGAATAAAAAGATCTATAAACAGAACGATTATATTGTGGACGAATCGAGTTCGTCGAGCTTTTATAGCAGTTTTCTATACAAAAGTAGTGAAAGCAGTTGTAATCCAGATCAAAAACCAATAGAATATTTACCGGAGGTAAATAATATTTTTATATTTATTATTTAATTATAGATATTTAATTATTAATTTGTGTTTCATCGGAAGTATTGAAAATGTTTTTCAGGAAAAGAAAATTAATTCATTGATAAACATTTATTTATAGGATAGTATGAAACAACAATATGGTAAACGAAGAAAAGAGCCACCATGGCTTGAAGGTGTTCACGTAACTCCAGAATTGATATACGAATATCAAATACATCCTAAAACTCTGAATGAAGTACTTCAAGCTGATATGAATGCCTTAAAAAATTTTAATCAACCATTATTGGTAAATGACCAACTGGGTCAACTTTACTTAGATTTAGAAGTCGAAGGTTTCGAAACAAAACTTGTTCTTGAAGATGGAATCACTTCTAGTGGTAGTGATAGTGGTAGCAGCAATGGAAGTTGGACGGCTGGCACAGTATCGCAGGTATAAAATTACTAAGATTTTATGATATTATCGTAAATATTATATTTTTATAACTTTATTTTATGTTTTTTTTAGTAAATAAATTTTATAATAAATACAAAATATTTTATAAAAAAATAAGAAATCAACATAAGATTTTTTAATAATTTTAACATTACATTTCATTAAGATTTAAAGAACAAATATTTTTTATTTATATATATATTTTTAAGTAGAATAAATTAAATAAAATTTGAGAATAATTAATGTTATTTAATAAAGTCTAAATAAGAAAATTTATATAAATTTAAGAATAATCATATTAATAAATAATTATCATAAAATCATTTTTGAAAATCATAAATCAATGATGATTAGTAAAAGAATAAGATTTTATTTACAGCAAAAACAAAAAAGGAGAATGGTGAAGTACGGTAAACTTGTAATGATTCACGAAGAAAATGCGCCATTGCCACCGGCGCTACCATCTCAAGTTGTACCTTGCCAGCAATTATAGGAAAAACTTTGTAATGACCAACTTATAACTAAACACTGTTTTCAAGTTTGTTTCCAATGGTATCTTTTGAATTTGATTCTAATAATTAAGTTACGATTAATCGCTGCGTAGTTCAAAAGATGTCATTTAAAATATTTTATTAAATTTATATTTTGAGGCAGATAAAATTATTTATAATACACATTTTTTTTAACGTATATATTACAATATTAGAATTATTATCTATTATATTTATATTTTTGAAATACTTCAATAACATCATTTAGATTTTTCTGAAATAGTTAGATATTTATATTAAGATATTTATATTATTTATTATTAAAAATTAATTTTTAAATTTTAACTGCCTCAATCATATTTTCATACATTTAAACATAAAATTAATTTATATACAATTAGCTATAAAATATTAAATGATAAGAAATGAAAATCATATTGATTAGAAAGTTAATGATTTCATTAAGTTCCTTTCTTTTTGAACTTATTAATAATGATATTTTAACGTCAATAATAAGTTATAGACATATTTATGTCTCAAGAATAGAAAAAAATATTGTGAAGCTATAAGATTTATATTATGGGCAGATATTGATATCTACGTGATTGTCTCTAATTGAATTAAACTTTATTTGATTTTTTTTTAATTTGTACATAAGATAGCTGATAAATTTTTCATTATTATAAAAATAAGATATTCGTTGGAAAGTCTGTTGCCTGCACAATATTTGATATAAATTTAATAGAATTTAATATGTGTTCATATCTATATATGTATACATATATAATTTTATTTGCCACAAAATTAGAAAATTAGGCTAATGTCTTATTTGTTTATTATATATTTTATTAATGAATAATTTTTCTCATTTATAATCATTTATAATTCTCATAATAAGACTTTATTCTTAGTTATTTTAAATATTCTTAAATAGATGAATCTTTTTGGAAAAGATTATTTTTTTAACATTAATATCATTAAATTATATATCGATTATTTTTATTCATTATTTCATTTTAGTTTTAATAATATTAAATTATATTTAATTAATATTTTAGAAGATAAATTTTTTAAAATTCAGATTACACATATGATAAGTAGTGAAAATTCTGATTTTAAAATGGGACCAAATATTTGAAATCATCTTTGAACACGCCTGAATACACCATGTCGAATATGCTACCTCAAAATGAATATATTTTCAATCTAGAAAAATAAAATAAAAATAATCTCGAAATATAATTCATTAAATAATGAATAGTAAATTAACAAATTCAATTGAATACATTTTAAAATTTTATAAAATCTTTTAATAAATATAATAATCTTTTTATCTTATAATAATTCTAATTTTTTCAGATTCGTTTGATAAAATTATAATAAATAATTTTTATATTCATTTTTATTTATAATCTTATTGATAATTTGTACATTGTTTTATAACAATAACAAATTCTCATTTAATATTAATTATACAAATTTGTATATTTGTATATTTTTTCATATATTTATCAGAAAAACTAGTTTGTTGTTTATTTCAGAATTGAAAAAATTATTTTTAAATCTTCTTTCAATATTAAGAGAGAATTCTTGAAATCTTCATTATAACATTTGTATAATTGAAAAATATTTTATACTTATATGTATACTTATTATACTTATTATACTATATTATACTTATATGTATACTTATATTTGTATACATATGAATCATGATTAATATATCTATTATATTGTATAATTGACAGATAGATAAAATATTTTGTATACTAGTGATTTGCAATTTTTCAAGATTAAACAATATGGCCAGTTCATTAATAGGTCATTGTAGTAAAACGAAAGAGAATATAAAGCTTTCTTTATACTGAATCGTAAATCTAGTCCAAATTATATAAAATAATTGCAACAATTATGCTAAGAAAAATTCATATAGAAACTATAGACAATATTAACTTGAATAAGAAATAAAAAAAAAAATCTTATTTATTTTCTTATTTAAACAGTATATATTTGTTTTTATATGATAGATATTTAAAATATCAATTATACCTCAAACAAAGAAACAAAGGTATCGATACTTCTTTTTAAAATATGATTCGATCAAACTCTAAAAACTCATTATTATCATCAAAAAATGTCAAAAGATTGGTAAAAAAATCACAGTAGATTTCAAATAAATGAACTTGAGTAGTAGTGTTGATGCTTTTGGCTTCAAAATTTAATTTATGATTCTTACTCTTTGTTTTTTAAAATGATAGCACAAAGTTTTATAATTTCTTTAGACGCATAGCTGTCTAAGAAACTATATATATGAATAAAAAAAATAACATGTATATGTGTCCGCATATCTACATGTATATTTATTTAGAAAATACTTATTTAATGCATTATTAATGCATATTTAAGAAAATTATAATTATAAAATATTAGTAGAAAATTAATATCTCGTTTAACAAATCTACGCTTGATGAATATTACATATTTCATTTAGAAAAAAATAAACTTTACTTTATGTATTATTATTATGTATTTTACTGCGTTTTTTAAATACTTATTCAAATAATTTTAGACTACATATTTTTTTTTCTTGAGTTAATGTTTAATTATACATTATATTATATAATATATAAGAACACGATAACGATAAATATTTAAAATGAGACATTATGAAACAAACGCAATGATGAAAAACATTTGATATAATAAATACTATTACACAAAACACGTTTGTATCATTATGTCTTGAAATTTATAGGAAGGAACAATTCTTGTGCAGTTTGTGCGTCATTCCCTGCAAGTACAAAATTTCAGTACAATTTTTTACACGTCAAATTAAGCGATACGATCAATCTGTTACACATTGTATTTTTCAGATAATATCTAAATCTCTATACATATTTACAATATATTATAATCTGATGTTTAATTTTATATAAATACAAACTGCACGAGTTACGCACGAACACGAATTTTTACAATTCGAAATAATCTTAATTTATTATATGATTAGTGTAAAAATGTAATAATAGTAATAGTAATATGCTGAACATAGTATCCATAATAATCTAAAAAAAATCATTGTTACATATCTCTTTCAGAGATATATTTATTTCAGAATCTATCTTTTGATTTATCTAATTTGTTTGTACATAAATGAAAAGAAAATGTAATTCTTGATTTTATTTTGCGTGTTTATATGTTCGAATGAATTAATGAAAAAAATATAGATATTTAATAATTTATTATTTTATAATGATTTTTTAAGTATTATGAAAAAAATATATATTTTAGTTTGATTTTCTGATTATTCAAATATTATATTCTCATTTTAGCTTTATGTACAATGAAAATGGAAGAAAAAACTTATATTTTAATCGTTTTTTATATTTTGAATGTTATATATTTTTCAGCGAAGTTAAAAATTTTATTAAAAATATTGCTAATATAATATTAGAATGTTAATGTATATATATATATATTATCTTTGTACATTTCTGTTAATGTTGAAATATACATATGAATATTATATCTATGAATAAGTGTAAAAAATTTATTAAAATTTTATTCATATTTCATAGTCCATTATCAAACTTTTTCGTTTCACTAACTAAAAATTATATTAGATAAGTTCGTCTCCCTTGCCTCAGCATTTTAACTCATCCAAACTCTAACTCGAGTCATTTTGTACTTTATTTTCTCCATTGATTTAACTTATTTTAGACTCAATTCTCTTAATTTAATATTTTAGCCTGTCAACCAAACACTTCATCTCATACAGTTTGCCGACCCCTGATTCGATCATCATGATCATCAAGTCAAGGTCATACTAATGTAATACATTTTCAGCTATGTTTTCTTCTCCACTTCTACGTATTTCCAGATTATTTATTTCTAAATTTCCAGCCTATAAGAAACAATAAAGCGATAGATTGTCAAAGAGAATTCTATAAAAATTTATTTGAAAGAGAGATATTTATCTGAAGAAAATGATCTCATTGCTTGCCTCTTGTTGGGATTCTTTGTCAGATGTTTTTAACAATTTTCGTATAAACGGTGCCAATAACATTGGATCTAATTTTTCAATATTTTCAGATGAAATAAGACTCACAACAAGGCCGATGGTCATTGTTACTAATGCACCAGTTACAGTATACCAAAGATAACTGAGACGGTACAATGCTAGAGGTTCTCTAAAAGTATTAATATGATTATTATATAATTACTAAAGAGTAAACAAATAGTTTATTCTTTAATTTTTTCTTTCTTATATATATATATAATAATTACGGAAGAAATTCGTCACTATCCAAAATTGTATCTGGAGGCTCGAGTAACATTAAATTTTCCACTTGAGGAAACGAGTAATAGCATCCTTCTGTGCTGACTGGTTTCTCGTCAAATCTGCCGAAATGTTTTACATTGTGCAACATCATAAATCATTACAGAGATTTTAAAATCATTTTCTATTCTCACTTTATTCTTCCACTAGCGATCGCTGCTTCAGCCGAAAGGCTAATCCATCCCATAAAACCCAAACCAGAAATACCACCTATTAGAGCACCCTATATTTTATACAATCATAATATTATTATATACATTGTTATTTTATTATTTTCATATTACATTTTAACATACCTTAGCATTTACCCAGGGCAACAAAACACCCATGCTGAAAATTCCAAGAGACGGGCCGCTAGTGATGGAGGCTAAATTCGTGGATAACTAAAACATACATATTTTATTTCGAATAAAAATCCTTTTAAACTAAATTCTTCTATTATACCTGCAATACATGAGATCCTGTTTTTTCAACAACAAATACAAGGGCTACGCAAGTTACTCCAAGAACAACTACCGTTAATTTTAATAAAATATCCGCTGCTTTCGAAGAAAAAGGCGTTTTTCTGAAAGGTTTAATAAAATCTTCTAATACTACCGCAGCCATCGAATTCAAACCGGTAGATAAAGAACTAAAATATATATAAAAATCATTTAGTTTTGATCATTTTTTAAACAAATATTAATATAAAAAATAAGAAAAATTACCTCAATGCTGCGCTAAATACTCCGGCAACAAAAAGACCCGGAAGACCCGGGAATTCATTTAATATATTCATAACAAGTAATGGTAACAATTGATCTTTCGCGCCTGCTAACTACGTAAAAAAATATAAATATATATATTTCATTTTCTTTAAATTTTTTTTTAATGTTAAAAATATAGCATTATTTGAAAAAATTTTTAAATATATATATCTGTAGTAGTATATAAAATATGAAATGTTAGATGTATAAATGACATAATAT